GTCAATCGACTTCCTTACTTATCATTTCCCTGATAGCTATAATCTTCAAATATTCAAATGAAATGCTTTAAAAAAACCTTTATTTAATCTACTGATGTAGATAGTTCTTCTTTTGCTCTCCATGATTTACGACATCTAGTCTTGTTTTTAACTAGTAATGATTATATAATTGCTCGTGAATTCAGTGACAGTAATTTTGAATTTAATCATTAGGTCAGGGAATTCTGACCCAGTCTCAGTGGCAAGATGGTGAGAAATTAATGAACAGTATTAAATAAAGATTTCATTTGGAAATTTCCTGAAAGTTACTCTATATCGAGACGCATCTGATGAAGGCCAAAGGATCGAAACGTTAGTGCGACAATAAATAAATGTAAATAACGATAACTCTTCGTCACAGAAATTTAGGCAAAAAATTAATCTAGCTCTGTAAGAGCACAGTGAATAGTGAGTTCGATCCTCACTGACTGCATTTCTAGTCTATCCTTAAATTACTATTCCGATCTACATTTCTAGTCTATCCTCTATTACTATTTGGATCTTCATTTCTATTACTATACGGTTCTCTATTTCTAGTCTATCCCCTATTAGTATACGGATCTCTATTTCTAGTCTATCCTCTATTAGTATACGGATCTCTATTTCTAGTCTATCCCCTATTAGTATACGGATCTCTATTTCTAGTCTATCCTCTATTAGTATACGGATCTCTATTTCTAGTCTATATTAAATTTATACGGATCTCTATTTCTAGTCTATCCTCTATTACTATTCGGATCTCTATTTCTAGTCTATCCTCTATTACTATTCGGATCTCTATTTCTAGTCTATCCTCTATTAGTATACGGATCTCTATTTCTAGTCTATCCTCTATTACTATTCGGATCTCTATTTCTAGTCTATCCTCTATTACTATTCGGATCTCTATTTCTAGTCTATCCTCTATTACTATACGGATCTCTATTTCTAGTCTATCCTCTATTACTATACGGATCTCTATTTCTAGTCTATCCCCTATTAGTATACGGATCTCTATTTCTAGTCTATCCTCTATTAGTATACGGATCTCTATTTCTAGTCTATCCTCTATTAGTATACGGATCTCTATTTCTAGTCTATCCTCTATTACTATTCGGATCTCTATTTCTAGTCTATCCTCTATTACTATTCGGATCTCTATTTCTAGTCTATCCTCTATTACTATACGGATCTCTATTTCTAGTCTATCCTCTATTAGTATACGGATCTCTATTTCTAGTCTATCCTCTATTACTATTCGGATCTCTATTTCTAGTCTATCCTCTATTACTATTCGGATCTCCATTTCTAGTCTATCCTTTATTACTATTCGGATCTCCATTTCTAGTCTATCCTCTATTACTATTCGGATCTTCATTTCTACTCTATCCTACTATAGTTGTATCTGCGATTACAAAGTCTCTACTAGAACGGGAATTACGAAAGTGACAATGAGTATTCGTTGGCATGAGAAAAGTGTGTTTGTTGTCATCGCAAAAGTTATTTCTTTTATCGGGGTTTTATGTAGATAAGTAATATTCTTCCTTCCTTTGATAGTATTTTTTTCTTTTCAAGTCTCAGTATATGACTGGGATTTGAACAAAGTTCGATCTTAAAAATTGTTCGTTATATTTCAATTATATTTCCAATGTCCAAAATTATAGTTTATCATTATATTATAATTTTTATTACGTAAAAAAAAGAAGAAGGTACCAAATTAATAACTCACCAGTTGGTAATCGGTTGATTTTTATCGTGCATTTAAAGTTTCATTTACAAATATAAGAACGGGTTGGGGACAATTTTCAAGCACTTCATGTTGCAATTATTATGATACAAAGATCGAAATACTAATAATAATATTAAGCCAATAATTGAAACAAACGTAAAATATCTTTGTTGAACTTCGAAAGTTTTAAACCGCTGCACGAAGACTTCGAAGAATTAGAGACCAGAGAACGATTTAAGAGGATTCAGGTTATGGTAGTAAACGCGAATGAAAATGAAAAAAAGACATACACTTAGTTTTTATAGATGACATAAATTTATTTGACAAGGTACATGACAAAGAACTACTTGAACTATGAGGACAAATTTGCGAAGGATGTTAGAAGAATCCAGAATTTTGGAAAGGATGTTAGAATAATCCAGAATTTTGGGAAGAATATTAGAATAATCCAGAACTTTTGGAAGGATGTTAAAATAATGCAGAACCTGGGAAGGATGTTAGAATAATCTAGAAATTTGTGAAAGATATTTAGAATAATCCAGAAATTTGGGAAGGATATTAGAATAATCCAGAAATTTTGGAAGGATGTTAGAATAATCCAGAAATTTGTGAAGGATATGAGATATTAGAATATATAGAATAACCAGAAATTTGAGAAGGATGTTAGAATAATCTAGAACTTTGAGAAATGTTAGAATGTTAGAAAATAAAGGATGTTAGAATAATCCAGAAATTTGGGAAGGAATAATAGAAATTTAATCCAGAATAATTGGGAAGGATATTTTGAAGGATGTTAGAATAATCTAGAACTTTGAGGAAGGATGTTAGAATAAACCAGAAATTTGGGAAGGATTAAAATAAGAAATTTGGGAAGGATGTTAGAAATCCAGAATTTGGGAAGAATAGGATTTTGGAAGGATGTTAAAATAATCCAGAAATTTGGGAAGGATAATTAGAATAATCCATTTAGAATTTCCAGAATTTTTGGGAAGGATGTTAAAATAATTGTTAGAATAATCCAGAATTTTTGGGAAGGATATTAGAATAATCAGAACTTTTGAAGGATGTTAAGAAATTTGGGAAGGATGTTAGAATAATCTAGAAATTTGGGAAGGATGTTAGAATAATCCAGAAATTTGGGAAGATGTTGATAGAATTTGGGAAGGATATTAAATTTGGGAAGGATGTTAGAATAATAATGAGAAGGAAATTTGGGAAGGATTGGGAAGGATGTTAGAATAATCCAGAATTTTGGGAAGGATGTTAAAATAATTCAGAAATTTGGGAAGGATGTTAGAATAATCCAGAATTTTGGGAAGAATATTAGAATAATCCAGAACTTTTGGAAGGATGTTAAAATAATGCAGAACCTTGGGAAGGATGTTAGAATAATCCAGAAATTTGGGAAGGATGTTAGAATAATCCAGAATTTTGGGAAGAATATTAGAATAATCCAGAACTTTTGGAAGGATGTTAAAATAATGCAGAACCTTGGGAAGGATGTTAGAATAATCCAGAAATTTGTGAAGGATGTTAGAATAATCCAGAAATTTGGGAAGGATATTAGAATAATCCAGAACTTTTGGAAGGATGTTAGAATAATCCAGAAATTTGTGAAGGATATTAGAATAATCCAGAAATTTGGGAAGGATATTAGAATAATCCAGAAATTTTGGAAGGATGTTAGAATAATCCAGAAATTTGGAAAGGATATTAGAATAATCCAGAAATTTGAGAAGGATGTTAGAATAATCTAGAACTTTGAGAAGGATGTTAGAATAAACCAGAAATTTGTGAAGGATGTTAGAATAATGCAGGATCATGGGAAGGATGTTAGAATAATCCAGAACTTTGGGAAGGATGTTAGAATAACGCATAACCTTAGGAAGGAGGTTAGAATAATTCAGAACTTATCTTCTTTATTTGTATTTTAAAATTTTAATTTATAGGAATTTTTAGCAAGACTAACCATTTTTATTTTTTATTTTTATTTCTTTTAAGTGCCACGTTTCTTCAGACCATATTTAATCATGGATCTTCATATATTCATTTTCTTTATTATCAGCAAATCCGATTGGGGTAGATAGGTTCACCTATCGCCCGGTTCACACTCCCTCACACCTCGAGGTTTATCCTTTGTTTCCTGTTTAGGATTAGGTTTCCAGTTTCTTTGAAAGTTTTTTTTTTTTCTCTTTCACTTTTGGTCTCCCTTTTCGTTTTGGTGACAATATCGTTTTGCTTGACATGATGCCTATTATTCCATAAATATCTACCTCTAGTGGCTCTTGGGCCTTCTACATTGTGAACATCACTGTAAAAAGTAAAAAGGGAGCAAACCGCTTACATGCAGATAGAAAATGTAATAGGTACACAAAAACAGGGAGTCGTAAGCAAAAGATGTGTCTTTTAACTAAACTTATTTTCCTTCTACAAAAAGGCTATCTTAATAGAGGTGGAAATCCTACCATCAATTAATTATCGGGGGTACAATCTTAACAGTATAATATACGAAGATAACACTGTGTTGATTGTAGATATAGCATAAATACTACAGGATATACAACAAGCTACTGAAGGAAAGCGTGAATAAAGGACTAACCATCAACTGTATAAATATAGGGTCGTCAGCAAAAGAAAGATCCCAATATGCGTACTAGGAATTCTAGATTTGTCGACGACAATCAGGTACACAAGTTTAAATATCTGCGAAATGTTGTAACGGAGGATGGGAAAAGCGAGAGTGAAAACCAAACACGCATTGGAATAGCGAAAAATGCCTTCCAAAATCTAAGCAACATATTAAGAAACAGGAAAATTTCGTTAGAAATAAAGAAAAGAGAACTTTTATGTAATAGAAATCCTCTTATATGGCAGTGAATGCAGGACAATCTCTTCGTAGATGAAAAGAAGACTGGAGATAACAGAAATGGGTTTCTACAGGATGCTGAGAATACCATGGACGGAGTGCGTAAGCAACGGTGAAGTTTTAAGGAAAATGGAAAATGTAAGGGACACATATAATCAAAGACAGAAAGAGACAATTGAAATATCTTAAACGCATAATGAGGAAGGATGGTTTGGCTAATTCGACACTCACAGGATATATCGAATGCAAAAGGAGCAAGATAAAGCAATCCCCACCCCTGCCTGATACACTTGTAGGAATGGATGTGGAAGGTTTGACAAAGGGGCATCCGCTGCTAATAATAATGTAGAGAGCTATGATCTCAAACGTCCTTAAGAAAAGCAGCACATAGAAGAAGAAGAAGAAGAAGAAGAAGAAGAAGAATGGGAGGAGAAGAAGAGGAATAGGGAGAGATGAAGAAGAATGGGAAGAAGAAGAAGAAGAAGAAGAAGAAGAAGAAGAAGAAGACGCGGGATTAATGAGGACGAGGATGTGAGTAAGTTTCCTGTGACCTCAGAAGGAGATAGAAGGGGCGGAGAAATAGGAAGAGGAGAAAGAGGAAGAGAAACAGTAAATATGGTAGTGGGCGAAACGGTAGTATTTCAATAAAGTTTAAAATTTATCTCTAAGGACTTTGCTATCAGTCTTTCTTTGTAGATCCGATGTTGACCCGAAAACTGATATGACACGCTATAATAATAAATGAAAGACAAATATAATTGCCTTGTCGAAGAGTTTCAGTTCGCAAAAAATATTTCGCTGATTCAATAAAAACAAGTGGATTTCTCATCCATATATATATATATATATATATATTGATAATCCATGGTCAATATATATATATTTATATATATATATATATATATATATATATATATAATATATATATAAACTTGAGGACAGAATCCAGGACAGAGTAAGAATATAATATAATATAAAAGGCTCGAACACTAATATTCCATGGTTATAATTTATTACATTGGAATCGTAATCACGATCCAATTCAGTGATTGAAAGGTCAGTGAAAATATGTGGAGGACACAAGGTGCCATAATTCAACATGTGGAGGACACAAAGTGCCATAATTCAACATGTGGAGGATACGAGGTGCCATAATTCAACATGTGGAGGACACAAAGTGACATAATTCAACATGTGGAGGACACAAGGTGCCATAATTCAACATATGGAGGACACAAAATGCCATAATTCAACATATGGAGTACATAAAGTGCCATAATTCAACATGTGGAGGACACACACTGACCTAATTTCAAATCTTGAGAAAAGTAGGCGAATAATATTCCAGAATTGTTTTTAAATGAACATTGTATGCATTGTGATCAGATTATGATACAGTATGGACGTATGTGCTGTACATGTTCAAAGGCTGAACTGATGGATTTAAGTGATATATATATATATATATATATATATATATATATATATATATATATATATATTTGTGTGTGTGTGTGTGCAAATATATAGAAAAATAGGAAAGAACAGTTAGGTTAATAATCCGAAGATATTTAATATTTTGTTTTTTATTTTTAAAAATAGTGCTCGATGCACAAGTAGAGCCTATATTATAATTATTTAAGAAAAAATATGATTCCATCACTACATAGGAATTCTCATATTTAAAAAAAGGGAAGCTAAATTCAATTACAGAAACTAAATTAAATGAAAGTACCTAGCTCTGTTATGTGCTTATAAAGCTCCGTAAATTTCAAAATTAGTTATTCCAAAATTTGCTTGAGGATGAAACAGAACTAGGTAATTTAATTTAATTTCATTTCTATAATTGAATTGGAGATCTTTAGCTTCTGTTTTTGAAACATGAGAATTCCTATGTAGCGATGGAATCATATTTTTTTAAAATATAATTATAATATATATATATATATATATATATATATATATATATATATATTATAATGGATGTGTCATAAATATATATAGATGGGTGTGGTATCAAATATAAACAGATACACACACACATATATATATATATATATATATATATATATATATATATATATATATGGTATAAGTTAAATACTTGTGCTGGTGCATATATATATGTGTGCATGTGTGTGTGTGTGTGTGCGTGCGTGTATGTGTGCGTGTGTGTGTGTGTGCAGGTAAAATGAGAACACGTGGATTATAATTCCACTGTACATAGTATTTAATTTAAAAGAAGGCTCAATACGTAATAGAGCTAAAAATTATTTATTTTAGGATATTAAAATATGTAAAAAACCGCTGCACAATTTTAATTATGATTCAAAACCATAAATGTGTCTCTTCAGGCGATGTTAAAATACTGTCTCGTGAAGGATTTTCATCAGATAGATTGTATCCTTAAAGAAACAAAATGAATAAAAAGAGACAAGAGGGAAAAGTATATTTAGGCGACGCGTTTCCTCGTCTGAGGGCAATGAAGGATTTATTTTGCTGTACGTGATTATATACAACGACGGGGTTGTCATTGGTTTATAGAGGCTTTTTTAATTTGAGAACTTTCCTAAATGTTCATCCGCTGGTTGAAAGGTCAGACGAAACAGATGTATGTATTGTACACGGTGATGAATTTAACCGTTTTCTTTTGATTTTTCAACATATTTCTGGTTGCATATATTGGCTTGGAAAAATAGTAATTCCTTAAGGAAAGGTGAGATTGGGGGGAAAATGGGGCGTAGATTTATATTTTGATAAGTTTCGATAGTGGCACTATCGAGAATTTTTCTTTTGAGTAAATTATTTTTTTTTCTTTTTATGTGGCATTTTTAGATCAAAATTGCGCTCGAAATTATTTCTGTTTTTTCAATAGTGTATTTGATAAATTGTTATGTACAAGGTTCCTTTTTTGTTCATCCATACGTTTTTTTTTTTGTTTTTTTTAATTTCTTCATGTTTCCCCTATCTATTGTGAGGAACAGTTTTGGCAATTTATTTTATATATGCTTTCTTCTGAATTATTATTGTTATGGATGTTTCGAGTACTGGTCGTATCCATCATATTTTTGGAAGTGATTGTGACTAGTTTTTCTTCTTGCTTCTTTTTATTCATATATACTATGTGTGTGTACATATATATATATATATATATATATATATATATATATATATATATATATATATATATAATATATAAAGAAAGAATCTGCAGTGTTATTGGTCCTGACCTGGCATCTCGGTTTCAGTCACTTTCCCACTTCCGTATTGTAGCTTACCTGGAATTTTTCTGTAAATATTTTCATAGTAATTGTGCTGATGTGTTTCCTCTATGGTATCTGGTTATTATGAATTTAAGCGCAGTACTAGATTGACTGCTAGGTCTCATCATCTTACAGATTTCTACAAATGGTTACATATAATCGTAACTCCTACGCTAACAGTTTCTTCTCTTGGACTTCATGCTTGAAGAACTCCCTTCCGACTTCTTGTTTTACAATTCATTTTGATCTTCAATGAAATGCCAGTTGTTTATGTCTATCTTAATTCATATTCTTTTCATTTTTCTCGTTTCTTAATAAAGTTTTCTCGTATTCTTTAACACTGAGTAACCTTGTTATGTGACCTTACCCATAATAACATAATGGACTATTCCATACGTAATAAATACTGTGCCTCAAGAGGAAGCAGGGAGTTCAGCCCGAAGTCAGGCGACCGGCTGACCGACTGATCGGTCGAACTCTCTGCCTTCGGGCGGGGAGGAACCCGAACGAGGCTACGCCGAAGGGCGGAGTCTCTTTCGCGGAGGTAAACCGACCCTGAACCCGTTTATATTTTTGGCCGAGCCCACGGTCTCGGAGATCCCACGTTAAACCGGTCTTGTGCCACATGGTTCCCTCGTGGGGGAGGGGGGTGACTAAATCACTACTACTCACCCCTGGGACTGAACTCAACAAGTTTACTCGGCTAGTGTTCCGCCTGAGGATTCATGCGTTGGTAGGTGCGAATTAAATCCCTCATTCAGGAAATTCAGACAGACGCAGTGAAAAGATGGCGAGCATTAATCGAGCCGTACAAAATAAAGAACAAGACCCGATATCTCTTGAGATGGACCTTGAAATGAGAACAATCTACTCCCGTTCGTTAAATGACACTTTAAATCGATGTTCTCTGAAAGTTACTCGGAGAGAAACGCACCTGAACAACACCCGTCGTAGCGTTGTAAGAATAACAACAAAAACGTGAACAATTTCCTGAGCGTAAATAATGTAAATAATGATAAGTCCTCAACAGAGAAATGCAGACACAGATTTAGTTGTGTGTCTATGTTTTTGTCTGATTGATTGCTGTAATGACTTATTGATTAAGTCTTGTCAAGTTTGATAATTGGAGAAGCAAAAGTTTACTGCAGAGAACCGGATTAAAAACGTCTATCCTAATGCCATAAAAAGATAGTGCGAAACCCGATTCCGACGACTGGGGTACAAGAAAACAGCCATCGTCCTAAAAGGCAATGGGCAGGTGAAGATCAGCCAATAAATATCACTGAAAGTGTCGGGAAGGGCGTAAATAATTAAAATGGGGGATATGACTTATACTATCATTTATTCATTGTATATAGATATATGATACCTGTGTATCGATTTCGTATTAAGTACTAGTACTCAAGATATTTTCCAATCTCTGCGATCCATTTTACTTAGCTACATCAAGCTATAAAAGAAGATTTTATGCTTAAAACTGAAAGTTCACTACAGATAGATAAATTAAACAGTCAAAACGAATATTAATTCGCAAGGCTCACAGTCCCTTGATACGTCTTAACAAATCCCCGGTTGCAACACCCGATCCGTATTTGAACTACCCTACCTTTTAAGCAAGCCGCTCCACTTGATCGAATGAAACCTGATGATTTAACCCCCAGACAAGTGTCTGTGCGGCTAAGTTTTAATGAACGCTCGCTCATAATTCATTGAACGACCTGACATTCAAGTAATTTGCAGTTCGTGATCAGAACAATGTTGGGAAATTAGGAACACAAGTGATTTTGCGCGAAATAAAGGGGTGAATATAAACATTTTTTGAAGAAAGAATCTTAAAATACAAGTTACAATAAAGAAACGTCCGTTGGGATGGATAGAAAAAAAACTCATTAGCAATGCTCAACAATGTCCAATAAAATATAAACATGGCGTCGGAGAAGCATACAAGAGACGCCATATATTACCTGTCAAACACTACACATAAGAATTGAGTTACCTCTCTCTCTCTCTCTCTCTCTCTCTATATATATATATATATATATATATATATATATATATATATATATATATATATATAGGATTATATATATATATATATATAATAAATTCCAATAACCAACAAATATTGTTCTTAAAAGAGTGCTCAATACAAAAGAAGAACAAATATAATCATTTATTCTAAAATTATAACATAAACATGTTATAAAATCACTAGAAAAATAGCCATTTTGTTTCTACACTTCTGGTGTCTTATCAAGTGATAATGTTGATTCAACAACATCACTTAATAAGACACCAGAAGTGTTGAAACAAAATGGCTATTTTTCTAGTGATTTTATATCCGTTTATTATAAATGCGAAATATATTTTGAAAAAAGGTTAATGTCACTGTAATATATGACAGCACCAACATAGTGGTAACCAGATATTTACTTTAAAACTTATATTACATAACAGTCAGTTTATACACAGTACTTGAAGACGGCGGGGTGCGTGAAACTCCGAGTCGTGCTACCGGTCAGTGTTCAATGTAATATAACAGAGCTATTATGTATATATTAATAAATATACATATTATCCTGACCGGTAGCACGACTCGGAGTTTCACGCACCACGCCGTCTTCAGGTACTATGTATAAACTGACCGTTATGTAATATAAGTTTTAAAGTAAATATCTGGTTACCACTATGGTGGTGCAGTCATATATTATAGTGACATTAACCTTTGAAAAATATAACAGGATATATATATATATATATATATATATATATATATATATATATATATATATATATATATATATGTGTGTGTGTTGGTGTGCCTGCGTGTGTTTGTGTTTGTGTAAAATAAATCTTTAGAGTTGTGAATATTAATTTTTATATTAAGCATAACAGGAGATTTTTTATTATTTTTCTCATAAAACAAAAAGAACCATAATTTATATTAAAATTTAATCTGGATCCACGTAATTTCATGAGATAATTCTTTCATGCCTACATGTAACAATCGATTCATTTCTCTTGTTTAATAAGCTAGAGTTATTTAAGTGTTTTAAAATAACTAACTTTTCAATAAACTGAGATAGATAGATAGATAGATAGATAGATAGATAGATAGATAGATAGATAGATACGAACAAACTGAAATAGATATATCGATAGATAGATAGATAGGGACAGACTGAGATAGATAGATAGATAGATAGATAGATAGATAGATAGATAGATAGATAGATAGATAGATCTGAATAGATAGATAAATAGATAGGAACAGACTGAGATAGATAGATAGATAGATAGATAGATAGATAGATAGATACGAACAAACTGAAATAGATATATAGTTAGATAGGAACAGACTAAGATAGATAGATAGATAGATAGATAGATAGATAGAGGGCTGATAAAGATATTTCGATACAGTAAGATACAAAGGATCAGACTAAGGTGGACTGAGTAAAACAGATTAATATATATGTGTGAAAAGACAATGATAGATCAATGCGCAGATCGACATATGACACTATTAATAAATTAATGTATTCATGTAAACCTGTTGTTAATTCCTCCGTTGAAGTGTTGTTGCCGTTGGTGTTATTTAAGGATTTCTTGTGATCGCTTTTTTCATTTATTCATGGCATCGTCTTCATTTAACTTGCAGCAGTTTCAGGTGTACCTCGTAAAGCGTTTGCTACTGATGACTCGACAGGCAATATCCGGGCATAGCCTGCTTCCATCATCAATGTAATGTCACTGTCGCTCCTGTGAAAGCACAATATGCTGTCTAAGTAGTCCAACACTATCAGTTGTTTACCTACTTCACGCCGCTGACGAGTATTGTATTTTGTTGATGTTATAAACATTATAACTTCATTTCTAAACTCCGTTTTGGTCATTCCTCATTCAGTAACCCTTCCTAGGTTACAACAAAGACATATACAAAGTCATATACAAAACAATCAATGTAACGTCACTGTGGCTCTTATGAAAGCACAATAAACCAATATGCTGTCTAAGTAGTCCAACACTAGCAGTGGTTTACCTACTTTACGCCGCTGGCGAGTATTTTATTTTGATGATGCTAGAAAGATTACCATATCATTTTCTACCTCCGTTCTGATCATTCCTCATTCATTAACATTTCCTAGGTTACAACAAAGACATATACAAAGACATATACAAAACAACCAATGTAACGTCACTGTGGCTCCTAAACCAAACCAAACACGATTGAGAACACGTGAAAATTCCTTTGCTTTTGCTTGCATTTCAATAAATGATCAACTTCTTTATAATTCGGGCTTTCTAATCTAATAAATACCTGAAGATTGAAATGTAATAAACTTTATTTCAAGACATATACAAAGACATATACAAAATATATAAATACAGAAAATATAATAAATTAGCATAAAATAGCATTTAATCTAGCTCCTGTGGAGGGATCTTGATTGGGCCTTGATCACAATAGGTAGGGAGGAGTAGTTGAACTATAGAACTCAAAATTGATCGCTGTATTTAAGTATTGTATTTATATTTAAGCTTACTTTTTAAAATTTCAACAATTCTTCTGTCGCCACTTAATTTAAAGACTATTTGATGCACGTAGGTCCTTACTTTCCGTACAAACAATTATTCTTATTTCAGGGTTGACTTTCGCTGGATTTCGCAATTAATTTCGATTATTTCCAAATTCATTTCCAGTTTATAAAAATTGTTATCGTACAAAAAAAAAATGTCGCCAATATCACGTAAAAAAATCGCTGAAAACAATCCCAGTCATGAAAACTTGTTAATTCAAAATTTCAGGATTGCGAGGCAGGATCCGACCCGGAATGTTTCTAATTTGCTCACAGAGTTGGCCTGATTCCAAAATGGTATATGTTGGGCTACGGCCTCTAGGAGTAAAGTTGAAAACAAGGACAATTTTATTTTGACACACTGTAATTTGAGAAATGTAATTTTTTTCATTTGAGTATGAGCTATTGAAAGTCAAAGAGTTGTGTCCCTTTAATTGTTTTTATCAGTAGAAAACAAGATGGCGAAATCAGAAAAAAAAATCACAGTAATGAAAACTTGGGAATCCAAAATTTTAGGTTTGCGGTTCTGGATCCGGCCCGGATTTTTTTTAATTTGCTCACGGAGTCGGTCTGTTTCCAAAATGTTATGATGGGCTACGGCCTTGAGGAGTAAAGTTGAAAACGTGTGACACAGTGAAAAATTGACATTCGCCTTTATTAAATAGATTAATAAAATAATTTAAATGAATAAAATAAGTAAACGAAAAACCTGATGATAAATGACATAAGTCAGCCCAAAACAAAAAATGGACGATTTCCTTGTTTCCTGACTTCCTTCAATCCCCGAATGACCTATATAGAATCCCTGCAAAATAAGCTGCGACACTTGGTCTAAAGATCGCTACAGTCGTGAAACGGGTTGTCATCATGCAGTGGTTGATTTCAAATTAATAAAACGTTACAGTGATTTTAACGTTCAATTTCTGTACGGTACGAGGCTTTTTTCGCTTAAAAACGTCCTTCTTGAAACCTTACGCTGAGTTTACATCGAGCCAGGTATGAATGAATTGATAGGGGACGGGACAACCTGGGTTCTTTAGTCTTGGTCTAGTAGAAGGCTAACTGAATTCAAAACCTGGGGACCGAGGGCACCGACTGAATGTGATCCACATCATATTTCGTGTTCTTTGGCTGTCGGTCAAGGGCTTGGAGAAGAAATGGACGCTGCTAAGCTATCTGAAAGGATCATAAAGAAGAATATATTTGAAATCTGTTTTTTTTTTTTGTTTTTTATTTTTCTGCCCTCATATTCCCGCCCCAACATTTGAACAGCCAATGATGATATGGGAAGAAAAAATAATTTATCTCGGAATTTTAAAAAAAACATCTTACTTCTGCGTATATTTACAGTCGGGCTTTGAAACACCACAAAAAAAAAAAAAAAAAAAAAAAAAAGAATTTCTATGAATAGATTTAAAGAACGAAGAACATTCTTTTTTTTTTATCTGATGACTTAATTAATATTTAGTATTTCTTTCTCATCAATTCCCGTAAATAATTTTTTGTTGTGCTTCTTTTTATGGCTTTTTGCATATCATTTCTGTTTTTTGTTTTTTTTTTTTATGCTGGAAGTCACCGACAGGTGGCATTGCAACGGGAGCAGTAATGGCCGTGAGGAAGAAAAAATAAACACGAGGTTTATTGTTGCTATTGTTGTATTTCGTTATAAAATGCACAGTTATTGACATACTCACGAATATAGACAAACGCACAAAGCGATTACCCTTCTATTATACATGAGTGATATGAAGATATTAGATTAGATTTACTACAATTTTCAAGCGTCAAAACTGGGACAGTTTTCAATTTTTTCAGAGGTATATTTTTCTTCTATAATATAGTGTTTTCCTGATCCAGTATTTTTGGGGAAATCTAAAAATATTAACATTATTAATGCTAGACGTAAGAGAAAGAAAAAAATAGATATTAATCAAAATTTAATAATAACTGACAAGGCTTCATCTAAGAAATTCAGAACATTTAACATTTCTTCATCTTCTATGTACCGTGGACCTTCAGAACGCAAGCGATCATGGCTCTCCACGATTTCCTCTACTTTGTAGCCCTTAGTAAAGTTTATATTTTTGCCATATCTCCTAATCCCAGTTCTGCCAACCATTTACACATTTTCGTTTGGTAGGTTATACACTGTTTTCATCTGTCCCTCTTGCCTTCAATATGCCTTGCGAGTGTCAAAATTTCCAAAATCTCTTTCCTCATTATGTGCCCTAGGAATTTCAACTGACCCTTTCAAATATTATGTAATTGTGCGTTTTAGTTCCATTTTCTCGAAAACTTCGTCACGTATTCAGTCTATGGAATCAGCGATGTAAAAACAAAAGAAAGAAGATGAAAGAAATACCGGTAAAATATTAATAATAACTGAAAACGTATAACCAAGAAATTCAAAGCATTTAATATTTTTACTACAAAAAAAGGTGTAAAAAGAAAAAAGAGAAATAGAATCTGTCTATATCTCTTTCTCCCTCTCTCTCGCTATCTCTTCTCGTCTCTCGAACACATTCTATGTATGTATATCTCTTTCTCTCTCTCTCTCTATCGCTATCTCCTCTCGTCTCTCGATCACATTCTATGTGTCTATATCTCTTTCTCTCTCTCTATCGCTATCTTCTCCTCTCTCTTCTTTTCTCTCAGACACATTCTATGTATCTTCATCCGTTCTCGATCTATCACCACCTCCTCTCTGTTCTCTCGAACACATTCTATGTATCTATTTTCCCTTTCTCTCTCTTTCTCCATCATTGTCAATCACCTCTCAGTCTCTGAGCAATCGTTGGCGACGTCTTCCCTATATCGATGTGCATCTTCAAACTCTCTTTCTTCTCCTCCTTTTCCAGCCCTCGGTGTCAATCGCCTTCCCAGTGTGAGCAATCGTTGGCGACGTCTTCCCACCTATCGATGTGCATCTTCAAACTTCTCTTTCTCCTCTCCTTTTCCAGCCCTCTCTGTCAATCACCTTCCCTCTGAGCAATTATTCTCGACGTCTTTCCACCTATCGATGTGCATCTTCAAACTTCTCTTTCTCCTCTCCTTTTTCTCTCGTCTGTCAATCACCTTCCCAGTGTATTCAATCGTTGGCGACGTCTTCCCACCTATCGATGTGCATCTTCAAACTTTCTATCTATCTCTTTCCTTTTTTCCTCTCCCTCGGTGTCAATCACCTTCCCAGTGTGAGCAATCGTTGGCGACGTCTTTTACATATCGATTTGCATCTTCTCTCTTCTCTTTCTCCTCTGGTTTTTCCTTCCCTCGGTGTCTATCGCCTTCCCAGTGTGAGCAATCGTTGGCGACGTCTTCCCACCTATCGATGTGCATCTTCAACTTCTCTTTCTCCTCTCCCTTTTCCTCTCTCTCCTCTCTGTCAAAACCTTCCCAGTGTGAGCAATCGTTGGCGACGTCTTCCCACCTATCGATCTTGCATCTTCAAACTCTCTTTCTCCTCTCCTTTTTCCAGCCCTCTCTGTGTCAATTTCCTTCCCAGTGTGAGCAATCGTTGGCGACGTCTTCCTCTCTATCGATGTGCATCTTCAAACTTCTCTTTCTTTCTCTCCTTTTCCTCTCTCTGTGTCAATCACCTTCCCAGTGTGAGCAATCGTTGGCGACGTCTTCCACCTATCGATTTGCATCTTCAAACTTCTCTTTCTCCTCTCTTTTTTCCTCTCTCTCGGTGTCTATCCTTCCCAGTTCTCTGACGTCTTCTCCGTTTTCAAACTTCTCTTTCTTTCTCTCTCCTCTTCTCGATGACATCTTCCCATTCACCTTCGTTTTCCTCTCTTCTCCTTGTTTACATCTCTCTCTCTTTGTCTCTCACCTTTTCCATCATCTTGCAATCTCCTTCGACAGTGTCTTCCCACCAATTCTATCGATTGCATCTTCAAACTTCTTTCTTTCTCCTCTCCTTTTTCCAGCCCTCGGTGTCAATCTCCTTCCCAGTGTGAGCAATCTTTGGCGACGTCTTCCCACCTATCGATGTGCATCTTCAAACTTTCTTTCTCCTCTCCTTTTTCCAGCCCTCGGTGTCAATTTCCTTCCAGTGTGAGCAATCGTTCGACGTCTTCCCCACCCATCGATGTGCATCTTCAAACTTCTCTTTCTCCTCCTTTTTCCAATCCTCTTTGTCAATCACCTTCCCAGTGTGAGCAATCGTTGGCGACGTCTTCCCACCTGAATCGATTGCATCTTCAAACTTTCTTTCTCCTCTCTTTTTCCAGCCCTCTGTCAATTTTCTTTCCCAGTTATTCTCAATCGTTGGCGACGTCTTCCCACCTATCGATTTGCATGTTTTCAAACTTCTTTTTCTCTCTCCTTTTTCCAGCCCTCGGTGTCAATCACCTTCATGTGCTCAATCGTTCGACGTCTTCCCACCCATCTTTCTGCATTTCAAATCTTTTCTCCTCTCCTTTTTCCATCTCGGTCATTCTTTCCCTCTCTCTCGACTCTTCCCACCCTCTCGATGTTTCATCTTCAAACTTCTTCTTCTCCTCTCCTTTTTCTCTCTCTGTCAATCCTTCCCAGTTTTCAATCGTTCACATTCTTCCCATCTATCGATCCTTTCTCTCTCTCTTCAATCTTTCTAATTTTTTCAGCCCTCCTATGTCTTTATCGCTTTCCCAGTGTGAGCAATCGTTGGCGACGTCTTCTTTCCCTTCGATGTGCATCTTTTCCTTCTCTTTTCCTCTCCTTTTTCCAGCCCTCGGTGTCAATCTCCTTCCCAGTTTGAGCAATAATTGGCGACGTCTTCCCACCTATCGATCCTACCATCTTCAAACTTTCTTTCTCTCTCCTTTTTCCAGCCCTCGGTGTCTATCAATCTCCTTCCCAGTTTTGAGCAATCTTTGATATCTTTCATTCATATTTCTCTTTTCTCCTCTCCTCTATAATGTGCATCTTCTCTTCTTCTCTTTCTCCTCTGTTTCAAACTTCTTTTTTTCCTCCCTCTCTTTCAATCTCTCTTGTGATCTTCGAATCTTCCTTCCTCAATCCTTTTCTCTCAATCACCTTCATTGAGACCTTCTTCCTTCCCATCGATGTGCATCTTCAAACTTTCTTTCTCTCTCTTTTTTTCCAGCCTCGGTGTCAATTTCCTTCCCAGTCTTCAATCGTTGGCGACGTCTTCTCCCACCTTTCGATGTGCATCTTCCTTCTCTTTTTCTCTCTTTCTCAGACAATCGGTGTCAATCCTTCCCAGTCTCTCAATCTTTCTCGACGTCTTCCCACCTATCGATTTGCATCTTCAAACTTCTCTCCTCTCCTTTTTCCAGTCTCGGTGTCAATCACCTTCCCAGTGTTTTCAATCGTTGGCGACGTCTTAAACCTATCTCTGTGCATCTTCTTTCTTCTCTTTTTTCTTCTCTCCTTTTTCTCCACCTGTCTCGGTCACTTTCAATCGCCTTAATCTCTCTCCTCAATCGTTCAATCGTTTTCCCTCCTATCGATCGTTGCATCTTTCAATCATTCTTTCTTTCTCTCCTTTCTCTCTTTTTCCAGCCCTCGGTGTCAATCACCTTCCCAGTGTGAGCAATCAATTTCTTTCTCGACGTCTTCCCACCTATCGATTGCATCTCAAAACTTCTCTTTCTCCTCTCTTTTTTTTCCCTCGGTTGTCAATCTCCTTCCCAGTGTTTATCAATCTTTGGCGACGTCTTTCCAACCTATCGATCTGCATCTTCAAACTTCTCTTTCTTTTCTCCTTTTTCCAGCCCTCGGTGTCAATTATCCTTCCCAGTGTGAGCAATCGTTGGCGACGTCTTCCCAGTGAATCGATGTGCATCTTTAAATTCTTTCTTCTCTCTCCTTTTTCTCTCCCTCTTTGTCAATCACCTTCCCAGTCTGAGCAATTTGGCGACGTCTTCCCTCTCTATCGATTGCATCTTCTTTTCTCTTTCTCTCTCTCCTTTTTCCAGCTCTCGGTGTCAATCGCCTTCCCAGTGTCATTTTCAATCGTTTTGACGTCTTCCCACCTATTCGATCTCCATCTTCAAACTTCACTTTCTCCTCTCCCTTTTCCAGCCCTCGGTGTCAATCTTCTCCTTTTCCCAGTTTGAGCTCTTCCAGTGTTTCTCTTCTTTTCTCCCCCTCTATCGATTGCATCTTCAAACTTTCTTTCTCCTCTCCTTTTTCTTCCTCGGTGTCAATCTGTCCTTCCCAGTTTGAGCAATCATTTGGCGACTTCTTCCCACCCATCGATCTCATCTTTTTTCTCCTCTTTCTCTTCTCATTCCTTTTCCAGTCCCTCGGTGTCAATCAATCTCTTCCCAGTGTGAGCAATCGTTGGCGACGTCTTCCCACCTCATCGATGTGCATCTTCAAACTTTCTTTCTCCTCTCCTTTTTCCAGTCTTCTCGGTGTCAATTTCCTTCTCAGTGTTCTCAATCGTTGTCGACGTTCATTCCCTCTCCTTCTCGATCTCCTTTTTCTTCTTTGCTTTCTCCTCTCCTTTTCTCCATCGTTTCTTTTATTCATTTTCATCCTCTCCTTCTCTCTTCTCTCTCCTCGTTCTCGGTGAAAATCTTCTTCCCAATCGTCCCATCGTTTCCCATCTTTCATTTCAAACTTTCTTTCTCCTCTCTTTTTTTCCCCGTCGGTGTCAATCACCTTCCCTCCTCTCAATCGTTGGCGACGTCTTCCCACCTATCGATGTGCATCTTCAAACTTCTCTTTCTCCTCT